CAGGAGGAGCACCAGGAGGAACAACAGGAGGAACAACAGGAGGAGCACCAAGAGGAGAACCAGGAGGAGAACCAGGAGGAACAACAGGAGGAGCAACAGGAGGAACACCAGGAGGAGCAACAGGAGGAGGGATTTTCAGCTGTTAATCTAATTTTAGAATGAATGAAGGAAAATTTAGTCAGTCATATGGTATGAAACGTCACAGTACAAAATCATTTTAAATCAGCTCCTTATATTATGTGGTTACATGGCTGGTTCAGTTTTTCGTTTATAAGATATGTGACTAATGGGGAATTCTGGGATTATTTAAGGAGGATCTCCATCAGTACCACACTATAGTATCTTATTTTATATGATTTTATTATTCAAGCATGCAGATTTTAAGTATACACAGGGATACATTGATTGAATTATCCCATTGTTCCGTTTGCTGATTTATGTTGGTGGGGTAGTTTAATTTTTTAGATAGCAACGTTCGAACGTGATGGATGCGAACTTTGTTGTCTCGTCTTTTCAGGTCAACTGGTGACGAACTTTTTAACGCGCTGTATCGCTGAAGATCGTGACTATGGGCGGGCTGCTCGAGTTAGCACTATGCAGCCGGTGAGTCACTCAGGAGCGTGCTCGAGGAGATGAGTCGGCGCGACTTTAATGAGAACTGCCCCGCGATGCACTGATCGGGGGGGGGGACCCGACGTGGGGGGAGAGTCCTTCGGAGCTGGACAGATTGACTTTATATAAAGAGTGATTTAACCTTTTTATTATTATATATCTATCTGGTTTTTATGATGAGCACACAGACATTTGTACTAATCTTCGTTTTTTTTTTTAAGGAAAAGGATCACGGAGAGGAATAGTAATTATTGGCTTAATGAGTTTTTTTATTGTTTGGTAATTGGAATAATCAGGTTGAGTTCTTCTCTGTTTGTGTGTTGATGTTGTTGTATCGTAAGGTTGGTTTCATTTTTGTACACAGAAAAGTCTTTACCTTTCCTCGCGCTCTGTGGAAAATCTGAATCAATTATATAAAATCAATTGTTAAACGATCTGCAGCCAGTGAAGGAGACACGGAGCAGGGACCGGTTACATGGTACGCAAATAACCGTCCTCCAGAATACCAAACACAATATGCCCTTATATGATCAGCAATACACGTCATCTTATAGATTAATTATAGTATACCTGTTCTTTAGTTGATTTTGATGTATGCACTGTATCTTTATGGATGATATTGGATCATATAACCGTATCTTTTGATATATGATGAGTATACCCTGTACCTTTATGGCTGATATTGATCAGTTACCTCGTATCCTTATGGATGATTTGATCCTGTATGCAGTCGATGGACTATGGCGCCTTAGCTCGTGTTTCTAGAGTCTTAGTGTTTGTGACGGAACTTAGGAATTGTTAAAATGTGATATTTCTTAAAGGAGTTTGGTGCAGGGACTTTTCAGTTGCGATTCAAACTGCTGATATGGTCATTGTTAGCGTTATCTCATACAGATCACGAGCTAGACTGATAAGCTCGATCAGGT